CGAGATCGCGCCATTGCACTCCAGCATGGGTGACAGGGCGAGACAACAAGAGCAAAAAAAAAAAAAAAAAAAAAAGAGAATATACTTGCTATGATTTTAATTTTTTCAAATTTGTTGAGACTTTTTGTGGCCTAACATATGGTGTGTCCTGGAGAATGTTCCATGTGTTGATGAGATGAATGTGTATTCTGCAGCTGTTGAATAAAATGTTCTGTAAATATGTTAGGTCCATTTGGTCTAGAATGCAAATTAAGTTTGATGCTTTTTTGTTGATTTTTTTTGTCTAGATGATCTGTCTTATTCTGAAAGTGATGTTTCCAACTATGATTGTATGGGGTTCTATCTCTCTCTTGAGCTTTAGTAATATTTGCTTTATGTATCTGGGTATCTAATAATATTTACATCATATATATTTGCTTCAGTGTTGGGTGCGTATGTATTTACAAATGTTGTATGCTTTTGGTGAATTGATCCCTCCATCATTATATAATGATATTTCTTGTCTCCCTTATGTTTTTTTTCCAAGTCTATTTTGTCTGATGTAACATTAGCTACTCTTGCATGCTTTTGGTTTCTGTTTGCATGGTTATTCTGATTTATCCCTACACTTTGAGTCTATGTGTGTCTTTACAGGTGAGTGAGTTTCTTAAAGGCAGCATATAGGTGGATCTTGTTTTGTTATCTGTTCAGCCAGCCTATATATTTTAATTGGGTAATATAAACTGTTTTCATTAAAAGTTGTTATGGATAGGTGAGGATTTACTCCTGTCATTTTGTTGATTGTTTTATATATTTTTTTCCTCTTCCACCCCTCTCCCCTTTCTTCCTTTTTTAATTGTTTACTTGTATGGATTTTATTTTGTGATGATAATATTTGATTCCTTTCTCTTTCTCATTTGTATATATACTTTACCAGTGAGTTTTATACTTTCATGTGTTTTCATGTTGGTAGATACCTTTTCACTCCCAGAGGTAAGATTCCCTCAAACATTTCTTTTAGGGTTGGCCTATTGGGGATGAATTCCCTTAGTTTTTACCTGTCTGAGGAAGACTTTATTTCTCCTTTATGCTGTGTATGGGATACTTACTTACCTTGCAGTTTTTTTTCCCCCCAGATATTTGTTTAGTTTCCACAGTACCTCTTATCATTGATTTTATTGATTGATTATCAATAAAATAATCATTGATTATCCCATTTTCTCCTTGCCTATAAAATAAGGTTTCTGCTAAGAAATCCTCTATTAGTCTGATAGGGATACTCTTTAATGTGTGACTTGATACTTTTCTCTTGTTGTTTTTAGAATTCTCTCTCTGTAATTTGGCTTTTGACGGTTTGAGTGTAATGTGCTTTGGTGAAGACCTTTTTAGGTTGAATCTCTCTTTTTTATTTTTTATTTTTGAGATGGAGTTTCACTCTTGTTGCCCAGTTTGGAGTGCAATGGTGCAATCTCAGCTCACTGCAACCCCTGCCTCTTGGGTTCAGCCGATTCTCCTGGCTCAGCCTTCCAAGTAGCTGGGATTACCGGCATGCACCACCACGCCCAGCTAATTTTTATTTTTAGTAGAGATAGGATTTCTCTATATTGGTCAGGCTGGTCTCAAACTCCTGACCTCAAGTGATCCCCCCGCCTCAGCCTCCCAAAGTGCTGGGATTATAGGCGTGAGCACTGTGGCCAGGTTAAATCTCTTTGAGGGTCTTTGAGCTTCCTGTGTATTGTTGTCTGTATCTCTTGCAAGACTTGAGAAGTTTTTAGCTATTATTTTCAGTTAGGTTTTCTGTGCCTTTGCCCATTTTGTCCTTAAACTCCCCGAATTCAAATATTTGTTTGCTTCATGGTGTCTCATATGTCACATATGCTTTCTTTATTGTTTTATTTATTTATTTTTGTCTGGTTTATTTCAAAGACATGTTCTCAAATTTGGAAATCCTCCCTTCTCAATCTAGTCTATTGTTGAAGCTCTTGGTTATATTTTTGACTTCATTCATTGAATTCTTCAGTACTAGGAGTTCTGTTTGTTTCTTATTTATGATATCTACCTCTCTGTTGAATTTCTCATTTGGATCATGAATTATTTTCTTGATTTATTTTGTTTTATTTGTGTTCTCTTTTATCTTTTGAGTTTCCTTAAGATCATTATTTTGAGGTTTTTTTACAGGCATTTTATAGATTTTCTTTTTTTTGGATCTGTCACTGGAGAGTTATTATGCCTTTGGAGGTGTCATGTTTCTTTGTTTTTTTTTTATTTTTCTTGTTTCCTCACATTGAAATGTGTGTATCTGGTGTAATAGCAGTTGGTTCTAAGTTTATGGATTCCCTTTAGTAGGGAAAGCCCTCTCCCTATAGATGTATCTATGGTGCTGGTTAATAAGGTGCTTGGGCTTTGATTCTGGATGGGCACAGTAATATAGTTTCCAAATGATTTCTTCAGCTGTAATCAAAATCAGTGATGTCTGTGAGTTCCTCGGTGGTGATGTTGTTTGGATATCCTGCCCAAATCTCACATTGAATTGTCATCCCCATTATTGGAGGTAGGGCCTAGTAGAAGTTGTTTGGGTCATAAGGGCAGATACCTCATGGCTTGGGGCTGTCCTTGTGATGGAGAGTGAGTTCTTGAGAGATTTGGTTGTTGTAAAGTGTACCACCTCCCCCCACCCCTCCACACACTGGGCTCTCTCTCTTGCTTCTGCTTTCACCTTGTGATGTGCTTGCTTCTGCTTTACCTTCTTCCATAAGTAAAAGCTTCCTGAGGCCTTACCAGAAGCTGAACAGATGCCAGCATCATGCTTCCTGTATAGCCTGCAAATCTGTGAGCTAATTAAACCTATTTTCTTTGTAAATTACCCAGTCTCAAGTGTTTCTTATACTAGTACAAAAACAGACTTATACAGTGGCTTAGGGTGTGTTTGTCAGTGGAGGCTCTAGAAAGGCTTTGCTGAGGATAGAACGTTAGGGAGGTTGATTTTTGTGCACCACTGGTAGCAGTGGTTACCTGGGCATACTGGTTGTCAGATCCCTGGGCAGTTTGTATGGGTCCTAGCATTGGCAGGCTTTGGGTATGCCAGTCCTTGGGGCTCCAGAGGTGGCATGTGCAGATGCTGGTGGTAGCAACACTGGTATGCACACAAATTGATTTTCTTTCTTTCTTTCTTTTTTTTTTTTTTTTTT